TCCACTCCATTCTTTTTTTTTTCATGAGTGAAGTTAGTTTTAGTTTCTTAGCTGGGCGATGCAACCCTCGGAATTAGGAAAAATGAGGTTGACAATAATTTGCCAACTTCAATCTTTTGGAGGTCGCCATCAGGTTGGCAAAAAAAACTTGAAACAAAGGTCTTATGATAAAACATAGAAACAATGTCGGCAAAAAATTGCCGACTTCAGGTCGGCACTTAGGTCGGCATTGCAGAATGCTGACCTTAATTCTGAGGGCTGATGATGACACATCACAGGGTTCCCACCAGATAAAAAACTTAAAATTCCAGGACTTTCCAGGACATTTGATTTGTTTTCCCAGGACATTTGCTTTATTAATCCCAGGACTTTTCCGGGACTTACAAAAAAATTTATAAAATCTAGGACTTTCCAGGACCTTTTTATAGATACCCCAAAACAACACAATATACGCTACTAAATGTAAATTAATATAGAAATCAAATGTAAATTAAAGAAATACATTACAGCTACATAAATATAGCTACATCACTACAGCTACATAAATAAGTGTAAATTCAAAAAAAATTTGACAAGGAACTATTTTTTATTTAAAAGGAAACTTTTAATGCAATTAATTTCAAAAACATCAGAATCATTTCAAAAACTCATAATATAAATACTGTTTTAGAAAAACAACAAAACTAACACTTTACTCAATAACTATGCGTACAAAAATATGCTTTTAAAATTTCGTTCTAAGTATTTCTTTATTAATATTGATACTATCAGGGGATTCTTTAAAGGAAGACAAATGATCTTCAATAAGACGTAGGGCAATAAGGGATTTTTCTTTAAGATTTATGACAAGAAGTTGTTTATTAATACTAAAGCCACGCTTAATGGAAGATTGTCTATGTGAAAGCACAAAAATCATTTCAAAAACACTCCAAACCTCTTGATAAGCTTTATTTGCTCCAATTTAAAATCTAAAAAGTCAGATAAAAAATGATCGACTATAGTTTTTAATATCAAAATCTTGAAATGATTTTCGATTTGAGCCTACTATTTCTAAAAATTTTAAATAAAATTTTTTCGCAAGTTTGGCAGACTTTGGTGACAAAAATCCATATTTAACTAACTTTTGCCACAGAATTGAAAAATTATTGATACAAGTATTCCTTTTATTTGGATTTGAAACGAAAATTGGGTTAATAGAGAATGCAGTGCATACTATAACAAACTTTAAAGGGGACTTCTCAAGGAGATGTCCCCTTTGAAGAAAAAAACTGGTAAAACAGGATCATGAATCATGGCTTTCAGTCTCTGCCAGCTTTTATTTTTTAAATCAGGTTGTTTACTTTTCTTAAGACTACTGAAACATATTACAAACTTTTTATATCCATCAAGTAGTGATTCAGCCTTTTGAGCATTTTTTATTTTCTCACCACCTATGCCAACAAAACTGCATTGGATAATCAAGTGTCCCAGTGATGTTTCCATAGGCTGCTACTAGGAGAGTCATTGTTTTGCCACAACTTTAAAACTGCCATGAATAATATGGAGACCACAGGTTCAAATATCTATCAGAGGATCAAGTTCTTCCTCTTTTTTCTGCTCTTTTAAATTATCTAGAAAAAGCAAATTTACATTTGATCTGGAAACATTTTACTAAATAATTTACCAGAGTCAGTTAAAGAATTCATTAAATATTTAGAATATGCAATATTAAGGACCCAACAAATTTCAGTTTCAAGTGTAGATGTATTTATTAGAATTTTATTAATTGCTTTTTGGTGTTCTGCTTTATTTCAGCATTCTGACATATACTCATTAACTTAAACATTGTTAGGAGCATTTGGCATCAATGACTTGATATTGTTAGCAGAAGATCTCTCTATGTGCTTTTTACTTTTCATTTGTGAAGTGCAGCTTCTCCCATGTTAGCAATATTAATGTCTTTAGCACAACAACTGCAAATCACAACAGTTTCTGTTTTTTTACGTAACCAATGTTTATATTTTTCTTCAACAAGCCATTTTACTTGAAAAAAACATTTCTTTTTAAGAATCAGATTTTCCATGTAAATTATACATTAGAGGAATTATATTACTATAATTTACTATAATTTTTATTGTAGTTGTACTGTTGTTGTATTGTTTTTCTTTACTTAAAAACAAACAACAAAATATTATCCCATTTTCCAGGACTATTCCAGGATTTCACAGAATAATCAAAAAAAATCCAGGACTTTTCAGGACCACTTTCAAATTCCAGGACTTTCCAGGAATTTCTAAGACCGGTGGGAACCCTGAATCAATCCCTCTTTTTTCAGCCTTCTGCGAATGGTCCGGTCTGACACAACAATACCAGCTTCATGGATAAGTTTAGTCAATACATTTTGAATAGAAATAACCTGACATGTAACAAAAAATAATAGAAAAATTTATCTTATCATATGTGGGTTTAAGCAACCTTTTTGAAATAATTTTTTAAAAACTTGTGATGGTCCTAATGTGAT